AATGAAAATGAATAGGGAAACACAGGTGGACTCTGAGTCTGCTGAATTTTGAGTTCTGTTTATTGTGAATGTTATGTACAAATGTGATATTACTGCTGCAATGTTTAGAAAAGAAAACTTGCATCTTGAATTTTATTTTGTAACAGCACTACTTAAAGGTGGGGTAGGTAAATTTGAGAAACCGGCTCGAGATCGCTAGAATTTGAAAATACACAACCGGAGAAAATCTGCCACTTCCTTACAGAGCCCCTCCTCCAACACACACGAACGCGCACATGACCAATGAGGGCACAAGATAAGTTTGTGCACAGATGGAAGGCTGACAGGCAGGTAGGCCATCCAGTTATTTTAGCCGGGCCGGCTAAAATGATTGGTCATACTTTTTACAGTATTACGGCTGACATTTTTTTATGGATTTTTTGTCAAAGCACTTAAGATATTCATTGCTATCGGGATGTTAAGAGCATTCCATGGAATATAACAAAAAGTGTATCTCGAGCCGGTTTCTCAAACTTACCTACCCCACCTTTAAGGTATTGGTTACCCATCTTTATTAACATAATCTGTGAAGTTAACCTGTATTCATAGGACACTTTTGGTTGGTCAGTACGACTGAATGAACATTTGTTATCACAGTTTGACTGTTGTTTACTATTACTTTTATTGTTGTTATAAAATCACTGCATGAGGTTGTAAAGGTGTATAGAGTGGTGCAGTGACGAGTCCTAAAACCCGGAAGTGAGTCAGCATTTTACCACTACCGGTTCCCTCGTCTCAGAGTCAATGGGATTTCTCCATAGGATTTTGGAAAATAGCTCGAAATAAGGTCTGTGGTTGACACAAGTTTAAGAGACGGATCATGTTTTGTTCTACGACATTAAATCCATCAGCAGTGACCCCACTGGTGATTTTTGAAGAGTTATGTGTCTGAAAAACGATGGTTGTTAACAAGTGGCTGAATAGGACTACAGAAGTTGTCGAGGACGTTGTACGTCATTACGCCAAACATGTAAACACTCCCGCTAAGTTTGTTTGCCCCTGTTCTGCTTGAAAACTGTTAAAACAAACGCTTCACCTTGTACAATTTTGAATCTGTATTTTTGAATATCGATCTTAAGTTGGCGTGACGTTGAAGTCGTGCGACCCTGCTGTAGTTCGTTTATAGCATAACGTTAGCATTTTGCTTCTGGTGATAAGATTTATGATTCGAAAATTATAAAGGTAGGGTAGACATGTGGATATTATCCGGCTGAACTAAAGATGCATTTATCAAACATGTTCGTTTTGCACAGACCTTATTTCGAGCTATTTTCCAAAATCCTATGGAGAAATCCCATTGCTTTTTTGTTGAGGGAACCCATGCGCAGCTTACTTCCGGGTAAATACGTCATCCCTGCACCACTCTATTGGCTTCCCTTGCAGAAGAGTTTGTGAGGAATTGACCAATCAGTTGAGTTGAGGCCTTCAACCCCCCTGCCACCCTTACCTGTGATAGGTCAGGGTCATGCCATGGGAAGCCAGCCGGCCTCTCGCTTTCGACCAATCAAATGCATCAACGCCGTACTCACATCAACAACGTTAGAGAGTAACCACACTCACAAGTGCACCTATTGTGATTTTGAGTTTTTAGGAAGAAATAACATTTCCTAAAGTACCACTACAATAGTAACTCTAATGAAATGGTATGGCAGGCAATCTCCCACAATACTAGAGCTTCGTACAAAGAGGAAAAAGGAGGGATTCTGACAATTTCTGACAAAAAATATGTCTGCACAGTGGCTAGCTTAGCGCAAAGCTTCAGCAGCTAGTTTGTTAGCCAACATATCCATTGACTCTAATGTTGTGGACGACCTGAAGCTGGTGGCAAGTCTTACGAGATGGTAATTGACCACTTCGCCACTGTGCAAGACAGGAGAATGGCCTTCCTCTACAGACAGGGTGAGTATGAAATGCACACCCCCTTCTCTCTGTGTGATGCTACTGTTTACTGTACTGCCTGTTAGCCATCTTTGTAGTTTCTGATGTGGTGCTGTTGCTTACTGTGTGCTGCTGGCCTGGATTTAGCTTCATGTGCTAGTCAGTCTGAAGTTGTGGTTTTATTAGAGTTGTTATTTTCTCCCATAAAGTCTGTTCAAGCCTCTGAGTTGATTTTAGGTGGAGAGCTTTGCAACAATTGGGTAAATGCTTTAAATCTTTGGCAAGATAACTGCCAATAAAATGATAAAAATTTGGTAAAAATTAAAAAATATGTGTCAAGTGGTTCCAAGCAATTTTAAGAGTTTAGCCACCTTTGTATTTTTTGAGTTGGTGAAACGTACTTTTTGTTTTGTTTTCCTCTACTCAAGAATGTGTTACTTTGCTAAAACTTTTAAAAAATGTGTCAAGCGGTTCCAAGCAATTATAGGAGTTGGGTAAACTCACTAATGTGACTTTTTCTGCATGTGAAAAGATGAGTTGAGCCTAAAAGCCAAGATATTAAGTGTAACCAATGCAAATAACAATCTGCTAAGAACCACACAAAAATAAATAAAGTAAATTATAAAACACAATTGAGTTGCCTACAGTATACGACAAACTCTTCCTGATTTCAATCCAACCCTTTAAATATTTGATAGCATTGAAACATTGCAGATTAAACAAATAGATTTAAAAAAGGGAACGTTATGGACATGTTAATACATTTTATTAAAATGTGATTATTTCCAAACAGTTTTCATAAAACAGTAACAAGTTTGTTTAAAAGCACAACACATTAAAGGGGACCCATCATGCAAAATGCACTTTTGTACGTCTTTTATACATGAATATGTGTCCCCGGTGTTCCAGGGAACTCATCAAGTGTCAGAAAACACAACCCTCTCTATTTTCCTCCATACCCAAATCTCTAAAAAAGGGGCTGCAACGGATCTGATAAAAACTGATCCAGATTTGAACACTGTCCTGACGTCAGGACGGTGGCGCTACGGCTATTGGGCCAACTCTCCACCTATCAGGGGAATGTGGGGTTGGGCCACGGCCGGCCATTGCCGCTCGAATGCGCTGGAGACGCTGTAGTACATATGTCAGGCCTGTAAGTGGCGCTGTAGTCTGCCACAAAAGCAGCGAAGAAGAATTCCCGCCCATAGTTACCATGGTTACCCTTCTGTTTATTCTCCGCTGTGGCTTTTTTTCTCCCTCCCCGAGGCAAGCGTTTGCTCCCGCTGCAATGCAATCCCTCCCCATCGAGGCAAGCACTGTAATTCTCTCCGGTTAGTCCACCAGCAGATGACAAACACCCACCTCTCCGCCTCTTCCAAGGAACGAGGGGACCGTGCGGCAGAGTTTCAGTTTCAGTTTGTTTCGCCGGTCAAGATGTCCGTTAAAGTTGAAATCTTCCGGACAAAATTAGAAAAGTGCCGGTCAAAGGTCTTCTTTGTTATTTATTGAGCTTTAAAACAAATGAATAAAGACTCTATATAATAAAAGAGCAGAGCACGTCTCCCCTCTCCTGCAGGGGGGCGTGGTCAGCAGAATCAGACCCGTAGACAGCAAACAGCACATAGAGCGAAATGAGGCATGGCTAAAATGCATGATCTGTTTGGTATTTTGAAAACAGAAACGTATAAATATACCTTATATAGGTATGGCCCTACAATATATCATTTAAATATAGCATGATAGGTCCACTTTAACATACATGGAGACACATGGTTATTACTTGATGGTTATTCCAACTGCATCTGGCTCGTGGGCAACGTATAACTTCATGCTGTGCATCACGAGCCTCTGTTGCACTTCGACCTCTGCTGTTCCCTGTATACACAAACGAAACACTAAATTGAGTACAAATCCTCAACAACAAAAATCAAATCCGTCTTGAAATCATAACGAGCCAGTTTACATTAGCTGTCAACAGACGATAACAGAGGTGCTATTCACATGCATTACAAGGGGCTTAAGCCATCAAAAACAAGGCTGGTTTGCAAGAAAATTAACCAGTCATGCCTGCAGTCATGATATTGATATAGTTCATAAACTACTTATTTTTAACCCCACCTCATGCTCAGAGATTTACATAAAGTGGCACATGGGTCCTAGAATAAATAACAGACGATTATTTCAACTTTTATCTTGATAAGTGAGAGCGCAGGCCAGTCTACATGAATGCAGGGCAAGGCACGTTTCTGTCCAAAGGTTCCATGATGGAGTCGATAATGTTTTAAAATATCACTTTGAGTGGTGACACTAGTGCTGCATAGTTTACATTTCCATCCCATCTGTGATTCAAAAAATAGAAATGGGTACGTTTACCTGATACTGATTATATTAGAATGTAAACATAACACGTCTTGAATTAACCTCTGAAACAACAACTTTAGTCTGACACACTCAAGGGCTTACCTAATGTGAACCTGAAGTCGATAGCAGGAGGCAAAATGTCTTCAAGAGGAGGTGTGACTGTTTTCTGGTCAGGCAAATAAAAGAACAAAATAGTTACATGATTGTGTAGGTAAGCACTTGATGCAAACTTTGCCCAACACCGTCTGCGGCCAATACAGAAAACATTTTTTGTTTGATTGCACCGATCATACTTGGCAGCAAAGGCACAACGAACGCGGTGTTATAAGTGCGCTGTCACTGCAATCTGCTCCATTTGTTGACATAAGAAGTCAGCGCAGTCTTTAATTTGCTTGTCCTTACTGATTCATTATCTAAAACTAAAAGCCTCTTTATTTATAACTAAGAAGAATGAATGGCAATTACAAAATATGCTATTCTTTTTTTCCCTTGCATATTACCTGCTTTTTTACCATGTCACTAGAAATCTATATTTATTTGTTTGTCGTTATCTTCCGCCACACATTCACATACTGTTGATGGAATGCAGAAGTAACGACAGAGATTAGTATAGTTATGACACTGGGCCCAGAAACTGACAAGATTAAAAGACAGCATTCTCTATCATATGATCTTGTTTTGTTCATTTAAATGAACAAAACAAGATCATATGATAGAGAATGTGTGGGATGCAACATTTTCGAAAAATGTGTGACGTTTCAAAGGCTTTTATTTGATTCCTATATAAACCCTTGATAGATGTCAACCTTCACAGAAGGTGAGGTTTGCAATATCCCAGACGTTGAACCGGACTATATTTGAAGACACGGAAATAATACAACATTTAAAAGAAAGGAGGATAAACTCTTTCCCATTTTATTATCTTTTCATTTGGGGTAAGTACATGTTTAAGTAAATATGTAGACTTCTGTACAGTTATTAACTTTGTTTGTGTGTGTCTCAGTGTTAGTGACCGAGAGCGTTCTTTTGTGTTTTCATTGTCACAATACTTATTGTAAATAATCTCTGCTCTACTTTAAGGAAATATTATTATATTATAATAATTGCGGAAAATAATTGTTCTATCAAACCAATTCCCCTAGGATGGTTTGGGTATCATTATAGCAGTATATATATATAGTATAGCATTACTTGCTACTTCTGTTGGTAAATCTATGTATCGTTTGATTTTATAGATTAAAAGAAAAACAGGATGGGTATCAAACGGATCATATCACTCGCCCTGATTCTAATAGGTAAGTGTGATAATAAACTGATTACTTTGAAGGTACTTCATACTGTTTGTTTATTTTATTAAAAGATGATATAACATGTAGATAAGGTGGAGTTCTTGCCAGCTCATTGTCCAATATTGCTTTATCCACTTTGGCACAAACAACACGGCATGCCAACAATAGGAGGTACTTAAGCCCGATTTGACCACTCTCTTTAAATCGCTTAAGAAGTGCAACAAGTCTGTTTTTATCTCCGGGCCGATCCCCTCTCTCCGTCGAGGCGTGGGGCGTTTTAGCAGGCTGCTCAGCCTGAACACATGGCTGCAGTCGGCATGCTCCACGAACAACTTGATAATGATTGACAATTTTAATATTTTCTGGGAGCAGGGTTCTTATTTTAGCAGAGATGGCCTCCACCCCAGTTCACAGGGTAGCCGTGCTCTGGCTGCTAACATTTTCCATGCTGTCTACACTGCTAAACAGACCTGACAATTCAGTACCATATCCCACCGAGACATGATAAAACCGGTCATTACAACTATGACTATTAGAAACTCTCCCTGCCTGCCAGTAGCTTTGCCAATATCTGTGTTGATAGGTAATAGAGTAAGAGCGGTGAATCAGCTTAGAAACAGGAAGCGCTCAAACGTTTGTGTGAATTTATCAAATTTAGCAGTGATTCCATGCCAGCCACAGCTTGTCACAAAAAATCTGACTAATAGTGTGTACAAACTAACAAACTTAAACTAGCTTTATTAAATGTCAGGTCTTTGGCAGGAAAACACATTTTAATCAATGATTTCATCACTGAGCACAATCTCGATTTTACGTTTTTAACGGAAACTAGGAGTGAACAAAATAACAGCGCAGCTCTTCTTATCGAATCAACCCCTCCCAACTTTAGTTTTATCAGTCAGGAAAGAATGCATAAGAAAGGAGGTGGAGTTGCTATTTTGTTCAATGATTCCCTTCAATACAGATGTCAGTAAACACATACAGCAAGACATCTTATGGGAACTTTGCTTCTTTTGAATATGTGGCCCTTCAGCTGAAATGCTCCTCTCTAGCTCTGTTCCTAAATATCTATAGACCACCCAAATACTGTGCAAGCTTTTTTTTATGACTTTACTGAATTGCTGTCTATAGTGTGTATTGACTTTGACCGTCTAGTCATTGTTGGTGATTTTAACATCCATGTTGACAACCCCCAGGAGGGGCTAAATAACTGTTTTGTGTTCTTGATAACTCTGGACTGACTTAGCATGTGACGGAGCCCACGCATAATAAGGGGCACACTCTGGACTTAATTATCTCAAAGGGTTTGAATATCTCTGAGGTTGTGGTGACTGATGTTGCACTCTCTGATCATTCCTTTGTTTTCTTTGAGAGTTCTATTTCTGTTCACAAAAATGTTCAAAAAGAGGTAACCACAAAGCGATATTTAACTGAAAATACTAGATCATTTTAATAAAAAATAAAAAAATGTTATAGATGCCATTGCTCCAACTAAGGTAAAGGCGGTGAGTGGCAAGAACATATCTCCATGGAGAAAGGCCATGACCGTGAAAACAGAAAAAAGAGTGTCGAAAAGCTGAACGCAGGTGGCGAAGAACAAATCTCCAGGTTCATTTTGAAATCTATAAAGGGAGACTTGGCTTTTATAATTTGGAATTGAAAAATGCACGACAGTCTTTCTTCTCTGACATCATTGCCAAAAACAAAAACAACGCACGTGCCTTGTTTGCTACTGTCGACAGACTAACAAACCCCCCAGTGTTAGTAGCCTCTGAATTTTTATCCACCACGGCCTGCAATGAATTTTCCTCCTTCTTCACTGACAACATTTAGAAAATCAGACAAGCAGTCAGTGCCTCTGCATCAGGTACAGCAAATGTGTTGTCCCTGTGTTCACTTAAAATCAATTCAAACACCATGACACAATTCCATCAGATTAATGATAAAGACCTGGAGTACATCTAAAATCCTCCTCCTGCTGCCTTGATATTATTCCAACAGGCTTTTTCAAAAATGTTTTTCATTGCATGGCCACAGATCTACTTCATATAGTAAACAAGTCTCTTCACTCAGGTATTTTTCCACAGGCCCTCAAAACTGCAGTCATTATACCACTCTTAAAAAAGAATAATCTAGATGCAATTGTAATGAACAATTATAGGCCCATATCAAATCTCCCATTTCAACGTTCTGTCCCCAGAGTCAGAACTAAACATGGAGAAGCAGCGTTCAGTTATTATGCTCCAAAAATCTGGAACAAACTACCAGAAACCTGCCGGTCCGCTGCAACTCTTACTACTTTTAAATCCAGGCTGAAGACTTTCCTTTTACCGCTGCTTTTAATTGAGCTATTCACATCTTAAACTGCACTGTAAACTTTTATTCATGTATTTTTTCTTTTAATGTTTATTTTATTATCTTTGCTTTTTAATGACTGTTTTTAAATGCCATTTTCTTAATGTCTTTTATTTTTGTAAAGCACTTTGAATTACCTTGTGTTGAAAGGTGCTATATAAATAAACTTGCCTTGCCTTAAAAAAACACATCAGTGTCCAGTTTCACTTTTAAATCATGATAGGTAATGGCAAATCTAACCTGAGTTTCTACTTTTAACCTTCTAAGACAAACAAGAATTCCAGAGGCGTCATTGTTTGGCTGTAGTGGGCTTTTTGGGAAAGAAACTGAATTACACTCCAAAATGAGGGTAAAGTTTGCCGAGGGAAAAACTGTCTTATCAGCAAAAAGTATTGGAGTGAAAATGGGTTCAATTGGTAATACTGACTTTACTCTTTGAAGTATGCCCACATCATCCAATGCAGATTGCCAATTCAAAAATATGTATATTGAAATGGGTCTGCATGATGGAGTCCGAAAAGGGAATTGCATATATGGGATGGACTGAAACACAAATACTGTGTTGATTCAATTATTTACCTGCTGTTTACCTGCTGTTTACCTGCTATGTACCTGCTATTTACCTGCCTCCCCCCCCCCTTTAAAAGTACCAGTGTGGGTGATATTTAATGTTTTCATAACAGTGGTATCGACAACTGCTGATGTAGCTGCAACAACAACAGCAGCACCTACAACTACTGCTGCTCCAACAACGGTGCCACCTACAACTACTGCCGCACCTACAACTGCAGCCCCTACTACTGTTGCAACAACAACAGCAGCACCTACAACTACTGCTGCTCCAACAACGGTGCCACCTACAACTACTGCTGCACCTACGACAGCAGCACCTACTACTGTTGCAACAACAACAGCAGCAACTACAACTACTGCTGCTCCAACAACGGTGCAACCTACAACTACTGGCTGCACCTACACACCAGCAACTACTACTGGTTGCCAACAACAACAGCAAGCACCTACAACTACTGCGGCTCCGACAACAGTGCAACCTACAACTACTGCTGCACCTACAACTGAGCCCCCTACTACTGTTGCAACAACCGCAGCAAACTACCACTACTGCTGCTCTAACAACGGTGCCACACTACAACTACTGCTGCACCTACAACAGCAGCAACTACTACTGTTGCAACAACAACAGCAGCACCTACAACTACTGCTGCTCCGACAACGGTGCAACCTACAAACTACTGCTGCACCTACAACTGCAGCCCCTACTACTGTTGCAACAACAGCAGCAGCACCTACAAGTACTGCTGCTCCGACAACAGTGCAACCTACAACTACTGCCGCACCTACAACTGCAGCCCCTACTACTGTTGCAACAACAACAGCAGCAACTACAACTACTGCTGCTCCAAAAACAACATCACCTACTACAGCTGCACCTACAACAACAGCAACTACTACTGTTGCAACAACAACAGCAGCACCTACAACTACTGCTGCTCCGACAACGGTGCAACCTACAACTACTGCTGCACCTACGACATCACCTACTACTGTTGCAACAACAACAGCAGCACCTACAAGTACTGCTGCTCCGACAACAGTGCAACCTACAACTACTGCCGCACCTACAACTGCAGCCCCTACTACTGTTGCAACAACAACAGCAGCAACTACAACTACTGCTGCTCCAACAACGGTGCCACCTACAACTACTGCTGCTCCAACAACAGCAGCACCTACAACTACTGCTGCTCCAACAACGGTGCCACCTACAACTACTGCCGCACCTACAACTGCAGCCCCTACTACTGTTGCAACAACAACAGCAGCACCTACAAACTACTGCTGCTCCAACAACGGTGCCAACCTACAACTACTGCTGCACCTACGACAGCAGCACCTACTACTGTTGCAACAACAACAGCAGCAACTACAACCTACTGCTGCTCCAACAACGGTGCCACCTACAATTACTGCTGCACCTACAACAGCAGCAACTACTACTGTTGCAACAATAACAGCAGCACCTACAACTACTGCTGCTCCGACAACAGTGCAACCTACAACTACTACTGCACCTACAACTGCAGCCCATACTACTATTGCAACAACAACAGCAGCACCTACAACTACTGCTGCTCCAACAACGGTGCCACCTACAACTACTGTTGCAACAACAACAGCAGCACCTACAACTACTGCTGCTCCGACAACAGTGCAACTTACAACTACTGCCGCACCTACAACTGCAGCCCCTACTACTGTTGCAACAACAACAGCAGCACCCACAACTACTGCTGCTCCAACAACGGTGCCACCTACAACTACTGCTGCACCTACGACAGCAGCACCTACTACTGTTGCAACAACAACAGCAGCAACTACAACTACTGCTGCTCCAACAACGGTGCCACCTACAACTACTGCTGCACCTACAACAGCAGCAACTACTACTGTTGCAACAACATCAGCAGCACCTACAACTGTTGCTGCTCCAACAACGGTGCCACCTACAACTACTGCTGCACCTACAACTGCAGCACCTACTACTGTTGCAACAACAACAGCAGCACCTACAACTACTGCTGCTCCGACAACAGTGCCACCTACAACTACTGCTGTACCTACGTCAGCAGCACCGACTACTCTTGCAACAACAACAGCAGCACCTACAACTGTTGCTGCTCCAACAACGGTGCCACCTACAACTACTGCTGCACCTACAACTGCAGTACCTACTACTGTTGCAACAACAACAACAGCAGCACCTACAACTACTGCTGCCCCGACAACGGTGCCACCTACAACTACTGCTGCACCTACATCTTCAGCCCCTACTACTGTTGGAAGAACAACAGCAGCACCTACAACTACTGCCGCTCCGACAACGGTACCACCTACAACTACTGCTGCTCCAACAACGGTTCCACCTACAACTACTGCTGCACCTACGACAGCAGCACCTACTACTGTTGCAACAACAACAGCAGCAACTACAACTACTGCTGCTCCAACAACGGTGCCACCTACAACTACTGCTGCACCTATGACAGCAGCACCTACTACTGTTGCAACAACAACAGCAGCAACTACAAGTACTGCTGCTCCAACAACTGTGCCACCTACAACTACTGCTGAACCTACAACAGCAGCAACTACTACTGTTGCAACAACAATAGCAGCACCTACAACTACTGCTGCTCCGACAACGGTGCAACCTACAACTACTGCTGCACCTACGACAACATCACCTACTAGTGTTGCAACAACAACAGCAGCACCTACAAGTACTGCTGCTCCGACAACAGTGCAACCTACAACTACTGCTGCACCTACAACTGCAGCCCCCTACTACTGTTGCAACAACAGCAGCAACTACAACTACTGCTGCTCCAACAACGGTGCCACCTACAACTACTGCTGCACCTACAACAGCAGCAACTACTACTGTTGCAACAACAACAGCAGCACCTACAACTACTGCTGCTCCGACAACGGTGCCACCTACAACTACTGCTTCACCTACGACAACATCACCTACTACTGTTGCAACAAAAACAGCAGCACCTACAAGTACTGCTGCTCCGACAACAGTGCAACCTACCACGACTGCCGCACCTACAACTGCAGCCCCTACTACTGTTGCAACAACAGCAGCACCTACAACTACTGCTGCTCCGACAACGGTGCAACCTACAACTACTGCTGCACCTACGACAGCATCACCTACTACTGTTGCAACAACCACAGCAGCACCTACAAGTACTGCTGCTCCGACAACAGTGCAACCTACAACTACTGCCACACCTACAACTGCAGCCCCTACTACTGTTGCAACAACAACAGCAGCACCTACAACTACTGCTGCTCCAACAACGGTGCCACCTACAACTACTCCTGCACCTACAACTGCAGGCCCCTACTACTGTTGCAACAACAACAGCAGCACCTACAACTTACTGCTGCTCCGACAACAGTGCAAACCTACCACGACTGCCGCACCTACAAACTGCAGCCCTACTACTGTTGCAAACAACAGCAGCACCTACAAGTACTGCTGCCTCCGACAAACAGTGCAACCTACCAACGGACTGCCGCACCTACAACTGCAGCCCCTACTACTGTTGCAACAACAGCAGCACCTACAACTACTGCTGCTCGACAACGGTGCAACCTACAAACTACTGCTGCATCTACGACAGCATCACCTACTACTGTTGCAACAACCACAGCAGCACCTACAAAGTACTGCTGCTCCGACAACAGTGCAACCCTACAACTACTGCCACACCTACAACTGCCGCCCCTACTACTGTTGCAACAACAACAGCAGCACCTACAACTACTGCTGCTCCAACAACGGTGCCACCCTACAACTACTCCTGCACCTACAACTGCAGGCCCTACTACTGTTGCACACAACACACAGAAGCACCTACAACTACTGCTGCTTCCGACAACGGTGCAACCTACAAAACTACTGCTGCACCTACGACAACATCACCTACTACTGTTGTAACAACCACAGCAGCACCTACAAGTACCTGCTTCTCCGACAACAGTGCAACCTACAACTACTGCCAGCACCTACAACTGCAGCCCCCTACTACTGGTTGCAACAAACAGCCGCAACTACAACTATGCTGCTCCAAACAACGGTGCCACCTACAACTACCTGCTGCACCTACAACAGCATCAACTACTACTGTTGCAACAACAACAACAACAGCAGCACCTACAACTACTGCTGCTCCGACAACGGTGCAACCTACAACTACTGCTGCACCTACAACAACATCACCTTCTACTGTTGCAACAACAACAGCAGCACCTACAAGTACTGCTGCTCCGACAACAGTGCAACCTACAACTACTGCCGCACCTACAACTGCAACCCCTACTACTGTTGCAACAACAACAGCAGCAATTACAACTACTGCTGCTTCGACAATGGTGCAACCTACAACTACTGCTTCACCTACGACAACTGCACCTACAACAGCAGCACCAACTACTATTGCAACAACAACAGCAGCACCTACAACTACTGCTGCTCCGACAACGTTGCAACCTACAACTACTGCTGCACCTACAACTGCAGCCCCTACTACTGTTGCAACAACAACAGCAGCACCTACAACTACTGCTGCTCCAACAACGGTGCCACCTACAACTACTGCTGCACCTACGACTGCAGCAACTACTACTGTTGCAACAACAACAGCAGCACCTACAACTACTGCTGCTCCGACAACGGTGCAACCTACAACTACTGCTTCACCTACAACTACTGCTGCTCCGACAACAGTGCCACTTACAACTACTGCTACACCTACAACTGCAGCCCCTACTACTGTTGCAACAACAACAATAGCACCTACAACTACTGCTGGTCCGACAACAGTGCCACCTACAACTACTGCTACACCTACAACTGCAGTCCCTACTACTGTTGCAAAAACAAAAGCAGCACCTACAACTGTTGCAACAACAACAGCAGCACCTACAACTACTGCTACTCCAACAACGGTGCCACCTACAACTACTGCTACACCTACGACTTGCAGCCCCTACTACTGTTGCAACAACAACAGCAGCACCTACAACTACTGCTGCACCTACGACAGCAGCACCTACTACTGTTGCAACAACAACAGCAGCACCTACAACTACTGCTGCTCCGACAACGCTGCCACCAACAACTACTGCTTCACCTACGACAGCAGCCCCTATTACTGTTGCAACAACAACAGCAGCACCTACAACTACTGCTGCTCCGACAACGGTGCAACCTACAACTACTGCAT